TATAGAGCAGTTGATGCATGATTATCAAATTGAGGCAGACAACTGGAAAGAACAATATGAAAGCCTTCAGCTTGACATGGAAGTTTTAGAAGAAAGCAAATGTACCTTAGAATAGCAGTTGAGGGTCATGGCTTCAGAGTTAGCAGTTGAAAAAGCTTCTTCCAACTAGATAGGCAAGGACAAAACTCTCCTTGAGTCATCATTTGCCGAACAACTCTCCAAAGTCACCGAAGAGATCAGAGGTTTGAGGGCCTTATTGAACGAGAAAGAAGTGTATGTTGGAGAACTGTAACGATCCGACCGGTCGTTTTGACCTTTTGCATTTTGCTTGCTAGTTCTCGGGCATGACTAGCCCCGTTTGCTGTATTATGACTTATGTAAATCGTCAGTTTTGGTTTTCAAGATAATCAGAATAGATTTGGAAGAACAATTCTCAGTTTGAAGCTTTAAATTTGAAAGGTTTGACCAAGTTTTGACTTTTTAGTATTCGATCTCGGATTTGGATTTTTATGATTTGGTTAGCTTGGTTAGGTTATTTTGGACTTGGTAGCGCGTCCGAAATGTATTTTGGAGGTCCGTAGTAGATTTAGGCTTGAATTGGAAATTTGGCATTTTCCGGCTGGTAGTGGAAATTTTGATATCGGGGTTGCAATGGAATTCCGGAAATTGGAGCAGGTCTGTTGTGTCATTTGTGACATGTGTACAAAATTTCAGATCATTCGGACGAGGTTTGATAGAATTTTTGGTCGAATTCAAAATTCAGAAGTTTTGGAATTCTTAGGCTTGAATCCGAGGGTGATTCGATGTTTTGATGTTGTTTTGAGCGTTCTGAAGGTTGGAACAAGTTTGAATAATGTTATGGGATGCGTTGGCATGTTTGGTTGAGGTCAGTAGGGCCTCGGGTGAGTTTCGTACCATTTTTAGTTGTTGGTTTTTGGCTTCAGGGGTGTACAGTGGGTTAGCATAGATCTGACTGCATTAGCATAGAGAAAATTTGGAAAAATGGAGTTGTGCTATGCGATGGCATAAGTCTTCCCGCGATCGCATAGAGTAAAATCTCTATTGCACTGACCCGACTTTGAAAGCTTATATCTCACAATTTATAAGGAATTTGAAGATGATCCAAAAATAAAAGTTGTAGCTCTTGATGTCTAGTTTTTAGAAAGTTTAGCCAATTATAATTTTGAGTTTTGTACAAAAAGTTATGACCATTATACTAGTGGATATCCGGAAGAGTTGGAGAAACTTGTTGGAAAAATTTGTTCTACGCGATCGCGAGGGAATGACCGCGATCACATAGGGTTAAAGAAAGGCTGAAAAATTTTGTGCTTTGCTATCACATTAGTTTGTCCGCGATAGCTTAGGGTAAATGCCTGGGCAGATTATAAAGTACTCTATTTCGAGGATTTTGGCCATTTTTGTATTTTTGGAGCTATGGAGCTCGGATTGAGGCGATTTTAGAGGGATTTTCAGAGGATTGATTGGAGTAAGTGTTCTTCACTCAAATTTGGTTAAATCTCATGATTATGTCTTGATTCTTATCATTTAATTTGGAAATTTGGGGTGAAAATTGGAAAAAATGGAGGAAGGTTTAGAGAGTTGATTTTGGTGATTTGGATGGCCATTTGATGTCGGATTTTGGTGAATTTTATATGGGTAGACTCGTGAGCGAATGAATTTTCCATTTTTGTGGTTTTTATCGGATTCCGAGACATGGGCTCGGGGGCCGGGTTTGAGCCCATTTCGGGATTTTTGAGTTAATTTGATTATTTTCGGTTGGGCTTTGTTTCTTTAGCGTATATTGATGATAATATACTGATTTTGGTTAGATTTGGAGCATTTGGAGGCCGATTCAAGAGGCAAAAGCATCACGGGCTAAAGTTTGGACCGATTTGAGGTAAGTAATTATTGTAAATATTATCTTGAGGGTATGAAACGCCGGATTTCACATCATTGTGCTACTTTGAGGTGACACACATGCTAGGTGAAGAGCATGGAGTCATGCACCGTTGGGGATTGTGAATTGGTCTGTCCCGTATGACTGTTAAGTCGCATATTTGATTGAAAACTGTTTGATATCATTGTGTTTTTGGAAATTATTACCATGTTTTGGGTCTCGTGCCATATTTGGGCCTCGTGCCAACTGTTTTGGACCCTTAGGAGATTTTTACTACTATTTCTCACTGATTTGACTTCATATTTGTACTCAGTCATGCTGTATTCTTCTAATTTTCATAACTAAGCTATATTTACTCTTTTTGATATTTTAAATGATATTTTGGGCTGAGCATCATGTTTTACTGTTGCTCGAGTGGCTTGAGAGATTTCGGACTGAGTGAGGCCGAGGGCCTGTGTTGTGAGGATATTATGGGATCGGGCTGTGTGTCGCAGCAGTGTGGTACTGATTTATGATTATGAGGCCGAGGGCATGATTTGTTACGCCATGATGTGGCTTGATATGAGGCCGAGAGCCTGTTTGATTATGCCACGAGATGTATTGATATTGTACTTCGGCCGTAAGGGCCCCCTCCCGGAGTTTGTACACCCCAAGTGTGCGTGGATACCTAGTGTGAGTGATATGATGTAGCCCGAGGGGCTGTTGTTATTTAATATTGTAGCATGAGGGGCTGTTCTTGATCCATGTTTTGCCTGATGGGTGGTTCTTGATTCATGTTATGCCCGAGGGGCTGATTACAAGTGATTATGAGGTATCCTGAGGGGCTAGTTCTATTGATACTATGCCCGAGGGGCGGCTTATGGTACATGTTTTGCCGAGGGGCTGTTTACATTTATATCATTTTTACTCACTGTTTTATTACTCATTTGAAACTATTGAAGGTTGTTTTAAAGGGTTTTACTAAAACTGAGCTTGATTTACGAAGTAAATGATTTCTGTACTATTTTGGAAAGGCACTGCATTTGCTGTAGCGTTATGACGTGGCTTACGTATTTTCTTACTACTCAGCTTTCATTTACTTTTATTACTTACTGAGTTGGCGTACTCACATTACTCCCTGCACCTTCTGTGCAGATTCAGATATTTCTGAACCATAGCGGGTGTTGATTGCTCAGTGACAGAGTCATTGGAGTTAGCAAGGAAGCTGCCCGATGTTCGCAGCCCTACTCTTCTCCCTCTTGTATTCCTTAAATTGTTTTAGTATATTTTCAGACCTTAGTAGATGCTCATGACTTGTAACACCCCGATGTCGAGCTTGTGTATTTATTCTGCACTGTCCATTTAGACTTACATTATGTGATATCTGATTAATTAAAGGCTTAAAAATGATTGTTATTGATTAAATGGTTAATTCGGGAGTTGTGTCGGCTGCCCTAGTTTCACAATAGGCGTCATCACGACCGAGTCGATTTTAGGGTCGTGACAAGAACTTGTTCAAACAATCACCCAAACCCAAGAAGATCTTCGCGTGTCTTCTGATAAGGTCAAGTTTTTGGAGAGTTCACTTGCCCCTTTACAGTCTTCTTACGATGTTTTTTTAGCTGAAAGGGAGGAACTCAAGAGTGAAATTGACCATTGGGAAAGAGACTACGAGGCTCTTGAGGACAAAGTTGCTGTCGAAGTAAGTTGGGCTATATTGAACACACGCCATGACACCGTTATAGAACTTAACCAAGAAGGTTTTAACTTAGGTGTTGAGTTAGCAAAGCTTAAGGAAACCATTGAGAAAACTCATCAAGGCCAATGTTTCTCTTTTCCCATGGCTGATACTCCCGAGCACGTTGAAGCTGATTCTAGTGCGGTGGATGTCCCAACTCCTTCAGATCAAGTCGAGCCTTCTGTTGCCGATGATGCTATTTTGAACCCTTCTCCTGCTCCATAGTGAAATCTTATTTGTGAAGTTTGATTCTTCTTTTTCTTTTTTGTTGGAATATGTGGTGGTTTTACCCCTGGTCCCATTTTGGGGGTTATGTTTTTGGTGGTAACAAGTCCCCAGGTCTTTTCGGGGATTTTTGTAAAAATGACAATTAGTTTATAACTAAGTTCATACTTAGTTTAAACTTAATAGTATTAAGTTTTCATTTTAACTTAATTTTTTCGAGTTTCTGCTATACTCTTTTAATAATTTGCCTTGTTTTTTATAAGTCAAAGGTCTCGTTTTTTAATTCGTGGATTTTTGTCTTACCCTTTTGATTTTTTACATTTTTAGAAATGCTTTATTAACTTCATGGATATTTAAATCGGATATGAATTTATAAAAGAGGGTCCTTTTACATACGACATTTAATGAAGAAGACGTCTCAACTTCATAATGGTGTAAACATACGAAAGGAGAAATAGGAACACACATGTTTCTTGAAATATCTTTGATAATGTTTTCATTCAAACTTTGTCAAGTTTAGATAACATCTTACATATATTTAACTATCTTCTATTACTCTTTCGTAACTATTTTCTTTACAACAGATTTGCAAAAAAGAAAATCCAAGGGTTTCTTTATAACCTATGGCTAAATACTGCCGTTAACCTAAACACTGTAAGATTTTGAAATCTATATCCACGAGTGTACTTTTCACAGTTTTTTTATCAGGCTTGTGTTATTGGCTCGTGACTTTGCTCTGAACTTAATATTTGATGAGTAGACTTTTAGGCTTGACTTGAAATTTAATTATTTTCAGTCTTCTTTGCGTTCCTTATACATATATATTTATATTACATAGTCCCCCAAGTGTTTGATCTTTGAAGTATGAAATCTCGAGCACTTGATTATTCCTTCCATATGGTCCTTTTCTTGAAAAGGAAAAATATACGGGACTCGGAGGTATGGTTTTAGATGAAGACTGCTTAATCCGTTTAAATTTTCATAAGAATAGTTGTAACCCTAGACCGGGAATTATGTTATTTCCACGTGTCTTTCAGGTCGTAATTCATCATTTAGTGTGGGCTAGTTTTTTGCCTATCATCTAAAATCGTTAGTAAAATTTTAATAATTCAAAAACAAAAATCGTTAGTGAGGATACCTGCCCGTGGGCATTTCCTTTCTTTAGAAGTAGTATCTCTTTAGATGAACATCATTGCAATTTGAAGGTAGAATCTTGTCATCCAAAGTTTCAAGCTCATATGCTCCTTTTCCTGTGATACCATGCACCTTATAAGGCCCTTCCCAAGTTGGACTTAACTTTCCTGCGTTGGCTTCCCTCGTGGATTGGAAAACTTTCTTGAGTATGTAGTCCCCAATCTTAAAGTATCTGAGGCGAGCTTTCCGATTGTAATACCACTCAATAACTTGTTTTTGTGCTACCATCCTTATTAGTGCATTCTCCATTCTTTCTTCAAGCAAATCCAGGTTTACCTGCATCTCTTCTTCATTTGATTCTTCAGTAGCTTGAATATATCTCGTACTTAGTTCCCCTATCTCAAATGGAATTAAGGCTTAGCTTCGTGCACAAGTGAAAACGCTATTTCTCCCGTACTTATTTTTGTTGTTGTTCGGTAAGTCCATAAGACTCCAGGTAGTACCTCTGGCCAATTGCCTTTAGATTCTTTCAGTCTATTCAAGTTCTTGATAATGACTTTATTTGTTGATTCAGCTTGTCCATTACCCACCAGATGGTAAGGAGTTGAAGTAATCCTTTTAATTCGCAAACTTTGGAAAAATTCTGTGATTTGTGCACCTATAAATTGCAGGCCGTTATCATATACGATTTCCTTTGGTACCCCGAATCGGCATATGATGTTCTGCCATATGAAGTCTCTGACCTCTTTTTCTCGTAACTGTTTCAAAGATCCCGCTTCTACCCACTTAGTAAAATAGTTAGTGAGCACTAATAAAAATCTTACCTTGCCTTTGGCTTATGGTAGTGTACCTACGATATCCATCCCCCACTTCATAAAAGGCCATGGTGCAACGATCGAATGTAATAATTCAGCTGGTCGATGAATGTTGTTACCATATCTTTGGCACTTGTCACATTTTGCCACAACATTTTCGGCATCTTCTTCAATTTTTGACCAATAATAGCCGACTCTAATCATGGTTTTTACCAAAGATCTTCCTCCAGCATGATTTTCACAATGTCCCTCGTGTATTTCCCTCATCACGTACTCGGTTTGAGAAGGCCTGAGGCATCTTGCTAAAGGACCACCAAACATTTTTCGATAAAGATTGCCTTGATTTAAACAATAGCGAGCATCTTTTTTGCGAAGTGCTTGAGCTTTTTTCTTATCCTTATATGAAATTCCATGTTGCAAAAAATTGACAATCTCGTTCCTCCAATCCCAAGTTAGATTATTGTAATTTGTCTTGATCAAGTACTGAATGAAACAAATGAATCATGGAAGCATTCTCTTTATTTGTCACCTCTGTAGCAGATGCAAGATTAGCTAGGGAATATGCCTCAGCATTTTATTCCCTTGGTATTTGCATGACTTTCCAAGTTTGAAATTGCCTGACCAAATCCCAATCCTTTTCCAGGTATTGCTCCATCCTCACCTCTCTGGCTGTATAAGTCCCATGCATCTGGTTAACAACAAGCTGCGAGTAGCTTTTGATTACTACGTGCTCTATTCTGAGCTCTCGTGTCAACTCTAAACCTGCAATCACAGCTTCATATTCTACCTCATTATTAGTAATTGGATGTCACTTTATTTCTTGTCTTATGGTTTCACCCGTAGGTGGTACTAGGACAATGCCCAGACCTGCTCCTTTTACATTTGATGAACCGTCAGTAAATAAGATCCATGTACCTGGATTAGATCCGTTCAATATCTGCAGTTGTTTTTCTGCTTCTAACTGTATCCCTTGACTAAAATCTTCCACGAAATCTGCTAAAACTTGTGACTTTATGGCAGTTCTAGGTTGATAAGTAATGTCATATTCACTTAGTTCTATAGCCTACTTGGCTAATCTACCCGATAACTCTTGTTTATGCAATATATTACGTAAGGGGTAGGCGGTTACCACAGAAATAGGATGACATTGGAAATAAGGTCTTAATTTCCTAGATGCCATAATCAATGCTAATGCAAGTTTCTCTAAATGAGGATATCGAGTCTCAGCATCTAGCAAAGATTTACTAACATAATAAATTGGTGATTGTTTACCTTGGTCCTCTCGAACTAATACGACACTTACCGCCACTTCTGAAACTGAAAAGTAGATAAGTAATTTCTCCCCATCTTTTGGTTTGGATAGCAATGTTGGATTTGACAGGTACGCCTTTAAATTCTTAAGCGCTTGTTGACATTCTTCAGACCATTCAAATTGGTTTTGCTTTTTTAGAGCTGAAAAGAATTTGAAGCACTGTTTTGATGACTTGGAAATAAACCTTCCCAAAACTGCTATTCTTCCTTGTTATGCCACGCAGTATTACGTCACTGTTATACTCTGCAGTAATATATTACGATGATATTACCCTCTGCAGTAGTATATTATGATGATGTTATGCTTCGCAATATTAAGTTACAACGATGTTGCACCCTGAAGTATTGTACGTTGAATTTGTCGTAAGGTAATTGGCATCAGTCCAAGTAAACGATTATTTGGAGATTATAAGGATTATGCTATTTCACAAATGATTAGTAAAGGTTAAAGGGGGAGCAAGTCAAAGAAAATAAATTTTCGTCTAAGTTTGGTATGTTGGGATAACATACGGCTCGAGCTAAAATACTCGGTATTTATGGACTAGTACCATACAAGGTACCACATGACCATAATAGTAAGGTGTATAAGGTATGTGAAAAGTGAGTAATATTTTAAGTAAGTGGGAATAATTCTCAATTTTGCGGGTAATTCATTAATTACCGGGTAACAGGACATTACCTAGTTAATTAATAATTGATGATGGATTAATTGAATTCTTGGATAAGATGAGCTTGCCAAAATGTGGCAGCCACATAAAAATGCATTAGGTGACTCTTGAATAACCTTGTAAGGTGGCAACAATTCAAGAGATAAGCACCTTATCTCTTGGATTAAAGAATAACATCACAACACTTCTTTAATTTACAAAAATAAGACATTTTACATCTTCAAAGTGATGGATAACTTCAGTAAGAAAATATATACAATATTGTGATCAATTTCATTAAGGGAGATGGAGTAAACATTCAACAAAGTAATGGATGAATTATCAACATATTCGTATGAAAATGTAGCAACAGGATTTTGCTATTCTAAGGGAGTGCGGTACAATCCTTCTCAAGAATATCGTACGAATTTTCTCCTACTTCAACCGCCATTATGTGTTGTTTCAATTGATGTGTGTTAAATGAATTTTCAAAAGAATCGGCTCAGATATGTTAAGGTCATCCCTACTTTCTTTTGGCATGGACAAATTATGCAGAAGAAACGAGCAAACGCGCAGTTTTCATAAATTACTCTATTCATGGAAATACTAGGGGTGTCTATATTCTTGATTCCCCATGTGATTTTTTTATCTTCTGTTCATGGGTCTCAGAATAATACGCAGTTAAAAAAGTTTATCCGGAAGGAATATTGAGATTATTACATATTTTTCATGCATTGCATTCTCGTACATTGACCCATGACCAGATGGCGTTATATATGCATATGTATGTATACATATGTATATGGGATATGGGAAAGGTTATGGCGTTATATACGTACCACCACCTGATCAGCGGGTATACATTGATGGTTTTGCCCACAATGACCGATATGATATGATGGGATGCCCTCAGAGGCTGATGATATTATGAAACATGTACCTATGCACGACATAACATTCATACGCATATGCATGACACTAAAAGTATTTCATGATTTACAGAGTTATCCAGACGTACAGGTTGATTCAATTACTCTATATTTCTTCCATGTCTGTTATGTACTTATTTATGTGCCTTACATACTCGGTACATTTTGGTACTGACGTCCTTTTTGCCTGGGGACGCTGTGTTTCACTCCCGCAGGTCCCGATAGACAGGTCGAGAGCCCTCCAAGTAGGCTATCAGCTCAGCGGAAGATGTTGATGCTCTCAATTTGCTTTGGAGTTGCTTGTTTGGTTAGTAGGATTTAGACGTGTATTGTTTGGTACATTTATGTACTCTTAGAGGCTTGTAGACATTTGTCGTGTACGTGAAAGATTGTAAGACCTTGACGGCTTATGTTTTGAGTTTATAAATGATCATGTTGGCCTATTAGGCCCATATGTCACATGTATATTATGATGTAATAAGAACTATACGTTATGTTGGTACTCGGTTGAGTAAGGTTCCGGGTGCCTGTCGCGGCCCATCGGTCTGGGTCGTGACATTCCTGTCAGACTTTGTACTTCTTTTTTGCTTGTGAGTATGTATGAAATCTCTTCAATAGCTTTAATCTGCGTAGGATTTACTTAAATGCCATGGTTAGAAACAAGAAATCCCAAGAACTTACCTGATGAGACGCCAAATGCACATTTCTCAAGATTTAACTTCATATTGAATTTGCGAAGAATCTGAAATATATCAGTCAAGTGTTGAATATGGTCCCCTGTTTGTTGTGATTTGACCAACATATCATCTATGTACACTTCCATGGTTTTGCCTAAATGTTCTTGGAACATTTTGGTCACTAGCCTTTGGTATGTGGCCCCAACATTCTTTAAACCGAATGACATGACTTTGTAACAGTAAGTCCCCTTGTCCGTGATGAAAGAAATTTTTTCTTCATCTAGAGGATCCATTTTAATCTGATTATATCCTAAATATGCATCTACAAAACTTAACAATCCATGCCCTGCAGTAGCATCAATTAGTTGAACAATATGCGGTAATGGAAAAGAATTTTTAGGGCAAGCTTTATTCAGATCGGTATAATCTACACAAATTCACCACTTACCATTCTTTTTAGGTACTACCACAGTATTAACTAACCGATCTGGATACTTTACCTCGTGGATAGACCCAATTTTTAAAAGTTTCTACACCTCATCTTGAATCACCTGGTTCTTGAAGGAGCTTTTCTTCCTTTTCTTTTGTTTGATAGGTGGGTACGATGGATCTTCATTTAATTTGTGGGTCATTACCTACGGTGGTATACCTGTCATGTCTGAATGCGACCAATCGAAACAATCTGCATTAGCTTTTAAAAATTCAATCAACTTACGTTTTATTTCAGGGCTGAGGTTGGTTCCAATGTAGACTTTTCTGTCTGGCCAATGTACAAACAACACCACAACTTCCAGTTCCTCGATCATTGTTTTGATATTTTGATTTTCTTCTGGTTCCTAAATAGTATCGGGCCTCAAACCTACATCTGTTTGCCCATCTTCAGTTGAGGTTCATATTGATGCGTCCTCAACTGTATTATGTGATTGCTATTTTTCATCACTTTTTGCGTTTGAATCTACCACGGAATTAATGCTTTGTGAAGCTTGTTGGTCACCACGGATTTGCCATATCCCCCATTATGATGGACACTTGATAACTTGATATAGGGTAGATGGAACAACATCCATTTCGTGAATCCATGGTGAGTATTATCTCCCCGTTTGTTACGGCGCTCGAGTTGTCAAAACCAGATAAGGTGTGTGCCTTGGGTATCATCTTATCATCAGCTTGCATCTTGTTTACCACTCTTAACAGAATGATATTCACGGAACTACCTGGATCAATCAAAACTCGTTTTACATTAGTGTCATGTACAAATAAAGAGATTACCAGTGCATCAATATGCGGGGTTAGCACGCCATCTGCATCTGCATCATCAAATGTAATACTTTCTTCATCCAAAACTTGTCGAACTCACTTCCCGTGTGTGACTGTAATTTTTGAAACTTTCTTTGCTACCGTATATGTTATGCCATTAATTTCTTCTCCTTCGCTTATGACATTAACCGTCCTTTTTGGTGAAGAGGGTTTTGAGGGTTCCTGCCTATTCTTCATATATGCTTGCTTACCCTTTTCACTAAATAATTCGGTTAGATATCCTTGCTTTAATAAATGTTCAACTTTGCCTTGCAGCAATCTATGATCCACCATTTTGTGATCGTGATCATTATGAAACTCGCACCAAAAATTAGGATTTTGCCTATTCGGGTTTGATCTCATTTCCTTTGGCTACCGTACCTTGTCTCCCATGCTCCTTAAAACAACCACCAACTCGGATGTGCTAACATTAAAACTGTAACCGCCGATCTTTGCCTTCGAGCCTCTGTCATCATCTCGCGCCTCTCGCGTGTTTCATTTTTTTCCAAACCTTGATGATGAACCTGACTCCCTATCTTGTGATCTATGATCGTACCTTGGGTTTTCTTGTTTTGAACGAGAGTCACTTCCTGATGGTCTCATGTAAGGCTCGTACCTATTTTTACCGAACCTGTTTTTAGTTTCAGCTCGTCTTGTACTTACTCTTTCCTCTTTTCGAGACTCAGTGATAGTATCCTCTTTTATCTGCAACTTCGTGTTGTATCTATTATAAACTTCATTCCAAGTTGTTGCTAGAAATTCTCGTAGACTTTTCTTAAGTCTTATCGTGGCTTCTGAACTTTTCTCATTTAGATTACTAGCAAATGCTATAGCTGCCCAGTTATTAGGTACATGCGGCAACATCATCCTCTCGCGCTGGAATCTGTCTACGAATTCTCTGAGCAGCTCCGTATCTCCTTGTTTTATTTTGAAAATGTCCTCCATTCTTTTTTTAACTTTTTGAGCTCCCAAGTGTGCTTTGATAAATGAATCTGCAAGCTTAGCAAAAGAATCTATAGAATTTTCAGGTAAAGGAGGGTACCGTGTTAATGGTTCCTTAATGAGTGTTTTGCCAAATTTTTTGACCAGTACTGATTCAATTTCTTACTTGGTCAAGTCGTTGCCTTTTACTCCAGTTGTGAATGCAGTTACGTGATCTCGTGGATAAGTTGTTCCATCATATTTCGGAATATCAGGCATCTTGAATTTCTTTAGAATTGGTAGAGGAGCAACACTTGTCTTCCAAGGTTGTTGTAAGTATTTGTCCATATCTATTCCTTTGATTATAGGTGGCACTCCAGGTATTTGCTCTATGCGGTCGCTCTGCTCTTTGAGCTGTTTCTGCAAAGTTAATACTAAATTTTGTAAATCAGAATTAACTGGGTTACCTAGATTTCCATCACGAGATTCGCTAGGAGTTCCGCCACTGCCTGAATTAACGAGTCCTGAGTGAGGATTTTCCAGGGTGTTGTTGTTTGGAGTTAGTGCTGGCAGTACAACTAGCAACTGGCTAGTAAAGCTTGAAGAGCATTGCTGACCTGTTGAGCGATTAATTTCTTCAGAGCTTCATCGATAGCTTGATCATTTGCAAGTCTATCATTTTCATTCGATTCAGATCTGTCAGGAGACCCCTCTCGTGATTGTCGCTAAGAATGTTGTGGCGAAGGAGGGGGAGTTCTGTCACCTTGTTGGTTTAGCTGTTGTGGATCTCCTTGGATTTTGGTAAATTTTGTTGGTTATTGTAATTGACATTCGACATGATTGTTTTCTATAAAGAAACGATTTGGAAAGCAGAAGATTATCAGATTCTCGGTAACAGAACCAATTTGTTTAACCAGAAAATAGGAATTTCGGTCAAAGCTAAATTTTAGAAGAACTCGGGTTACTAATAATCAAATATGAAACAAATAAGAAAAATTGACTTAAATGATAGCTGAATAAGTAAAAGAACGCAAAGTAAATTAGTGTATTCCAATAATATTTTGTGTCCTTACAAATGTTATTTCTCTCCTTTTATAGCTATTTTAGTAATGCATTTCTTTCCTCTCATAGCAGAGCCATTATGAGCGTTTAATGGCATTAATGTAACGTTATAATTGGCAATCGTAACTGTTTCGTGAAGATTCGATAACATTTTCCATCATTGATGCTCATTAATCACAGATAATACGTATCTGTACTTTTTGCTATCTAGGTTCACTCCTCCGATATCTCTTCAAATATCAAGAGGTCCGAATAATCATTCCTTCTTGTTTTCTTGAATCTTTACCTGCACCTGTTAAGATTCGTGCCTCTTCGACTATATTTTGCCAACTGTCATTCTGTTATTGATCCACGTGTCTTGACGTGTCAACACTTAATTAATTCCAAATGTTAACTTGATTTTTCCCAATACAATAGCCTGATCCCATAATACCCTCACAACACAGACCCTCGGCCTCACTCAGTCAGAAATCTCTCAACCTACTCGGGCAACAGTAAAACATGTTGCTCAGCCCAAAATATCATTTAAAATATCAAAAACAGAGTAAAAATGGTTGAGTTATGAAAACAATAGAATACAACATGACTGAGTACAAATATGAAGTCAAAACAGTGAGAAATAGTAGTAAAAATCCCTTAAGGGTCCAAAACAGTTGGCACGAGGCCGAAATATGGCATTCAACTCAAAACACGATAATACTTTCCAAAACACAATGATATCAAACAAGTTTTAATCAAATACGCGACTTAAGAGTCGTACGGGATGGACTAAGTCGCAATCCCCAACGGTGCACGACCCCACGCTCGTCATCTAGCAGGTGCGTCACCTCAAAGTCGCACAACGATGTAAAATTCGGGTTTTCATACCCTCAGGACAAACATTTATAATCATTACTTACCTCAATCCGGTCCAAACTCTAGCCTGCGATGCCTTTGGCTATCGACTCGACCTCCGAATGCTCCAAATCTATCCAAAAAACAAATTTATACCATCAAAATATGCTAAGGGAACAAAGCCCACTCGAAAATAACCAATTTACATAAAAAATCCTGAAATTGGCCAAACCCGGCCTCCCGGGCCCACGTCTCGGAATACGATAAAAATCACATCAATAGAATCTTTATCCTCCCACGAGTCTATACAGACCAAGAACATCTAAATCGGACCTCAAATGGCCCCTCAATTCCCCAATTTATACTCTCCAATTTCAAGCCCTAATTGCCCAATCTTAGGCTTTAAATTCCACAAATTTCATGTTAAATTAGGTAGAAATCACAATAGGATTAAGTACTTAAAATCTCTTCTTCACGAACGCGGTCAACGCCTTATGTTCGCGAAGCACAAACTTTCATTGACCACTTATTCCTTCATTGCGAACGCAACACCCTGTATGCGAATGCGAAGCCTTAGCTCCTTAGTGCATTGCGAATGCGACGATCAACTCACGAACGCGAAGCACAACTCTCCAGGATCCCAGCTGCTCACCTTTACACTACGCGAACGTGGCATAACCATCGCAAACACGATGAATACTGGATCCAACCCTTCGCGAACATGGGACATCCATCGCGAACGTGAAGGCCAAACCTACTGCCTCACACCCTAACCCTTCGCGAACGCGAGGGCCCACTTGCGAACGCGAAGACCAACTGTCTGCAACACCAACAACAGATTTCTGCAACTTTTTCCAACATGAAATGATCCGTTCAACCATCCGAAACTCACCTGAGGCCTCCGAGACCTCAACCAAACATTCCAACATATCCCATAACATCATTCAAACTTGTTCCAACCCTCAGAATGCTTAAAACAACATCAAAACACCAAATCATCATCAGATTCAACCCTAAGAATTCCAAAAACTTCCAAATTCTGCTTTTGATCAAAATGTCTATCAAACCTCGTCCGAATAACCTAAAATTTGGCACACACGTCAAAAATAACACAATGGACCTACTCCAACTTCCGGAATTCCATTCCGACCCCTATATCAAAATCTCACCTATCGACCGGTAAATGCCAAAATTCCAATTTCGCCAATTCAACCCTAAATCTACTTCGGACCTCCAAAACATATTCCGATCATATTACTAAGTCCCAAATCACCTAATGGAGCTAACCAAATCATAAAAATTCAAATTCGAGATCATATACTAAAAAGTCAAAACTTGGTCAACCCTTTCAAATTTTAAGCTTCAAACTGAGAACTATTCTTCCAAATCCATTCCGATTACCCTGAAAACCAAAACAGACGATTTACATAAGTCATAATACATCACACAGGGCTAGTCATGCCCGAGAACTGGCGAGCGAATGCAAAAGCTCAAAACTACCGGTCGTGTCGTTACAAATACACTAAATATATTATAATATGCTATATATGTAGTTAAAGTAGTACAATGAAGCGTGTTATATATATATAAGTCAGGCGTTTTGTTTTTAACATTCAATGATGCATCTAAGTAGATGTGATGACCCAAAAGGTTATCACTTGATTTACAAGTTAATTCTATGTTCCGAGACCTTAAAAGCCTCCTTTTATATCAGCTCGATTTGCATACGCGGTCCGGGCGTATATCCGGAACTCTTTTATATGAAAATTTGATAAATATGCTAATTTGGCCTTTAAAAGTTGAATTTAAGTTGACTTTGGTCAATATTTTGGATAAACGGACCAGGACCCATGATTTAACGATCCCATGGGACTTGGGTGTATGCCCGAAATTGAATTCCGAGGTCCCAATCCCGAGAAATGAATTTTTGAAGAAACTTGTTTAACTGAAATTATAAGGGATTTTGGAAATTTAAATGTGTTTGAATTTGATGGTATTGGGCCCGTATTTTGGTGCCGGAGCCCGGTACATATCTTTTATGGTATCTAAGTTGAGGCTATAAAATTTGGTAAGAAACGGACTTGATATGACGTGAATCGGGCCCTCCGTTGTTAAAATTTGAACTTAAGAGTTCTTAAGATTTTTTTTATTTTGATGTTAAATTCATTGTTAAAGATGTTAATTTGGCGATTTAATCGCACGAGTAAGTCCATATGATGTTTGAGTGAGTATGTATGTTTGGTTTTGAGCCTCGAGGGCTCGGGTAAGTTTCAAATAGGTTATTGGGTGTTTTGGACTTAGGAGTTTCTACTGTTTTGCTGGTTCTGGTGTACTGATGTGTTGTTCTTCGCGTTTGCGATGCAGCTCACGCACACGCGAAGTACAAGCTGGGATGGGAGGATTTTTTCCATCATGAACGTGTTGCCACCGTCGCGAATGAGGAGCACTGAGGGGTTGCTCATCGCGAACGCGACCGGTGTCACACGAATGCGTAGTGTAAAATGGAGGCGGGCTGGGAATTTGCCATTTCTTCTATGCGAACGCGTACTGTTTTCCGCGAACACGAAGGCCAGGGGGGCTTACCCTTTGCGAACGTGTAAGCCTGAGAAAGACTGCTCTTCGGGAACGCGGCAAGCCCTTCGCGAACGCGAAGAAGGCCTGCCCAGTCTTTTTAAAACAGAACCAAAATCGGGCAGAACTCATTTTTATCATATTTTCGAACTACCAAAACCTAGATGCGATTTTCTTCACACACATTCATCCCCAAAGTGTTGGCAATCAATTTTAAACATTACTCTTTCAATTACCCAGCGTTTTTCATCACTTTTTAATCAAAAATCAAGAATTTGCATGGTAGAAATTGTGAATTTGGATAGAGTTAGGGATTTTTGAATAATTGGAATTTAGACCTCGTCTTGGGGTCAGATTTTGAAACTAATTGCATATTCGGGCTCGTGGATGAATGTGTGATCGGGTTTTGGTTCGAACCTTGAGTTTTAACCAAGCAGGCCCGGTGTCGATTTTTGACTTTTTGGAGAAAATGATAGAAAACCTATAATTAAGCATTGGGTATGGATTCTTAGCATTTATTGATGTTGTTAAATTAATTTGGGTAAGATACAATTAACTTGGAGGATTCTAAAGGAAAAGCGTTGTTTGAGGCTTGAGTTGGCCATGGAAGTTCGAGGTAAGCGTTTGGTCTAACCTTAGCTTGAGAGAATATGTATTGTGCTTTATTTGCTATGTGCTACTGTATTGTATGACATATAGGTGTGGTGACGAGTATCTATATGTCATTGTCAAGCATGCCCGTGAGTCTTAAATTATAACCGTTGTGTTTCTTAATAAGTACTACAAATGCCTAAATTGTTGATTCTCCGTGTTGGGAAAGAATTATGATTATCTTCGTGGTATTTGTTTATTGTTGAGCATTGGCTCCAGTTGAGTTTTTATTTGTGAAGTTAACTGTTGGTACATGTTTGGTTATAGCTGATTCCCTTGCCAAGACGTATTTAATTCATACTGTTGGTTCCCTTGCAGGGATGTGTTTATGTTTGTTGTTGATTCCCTTGCCGGGATGTGTTTATTCTTGTTGTTGATTCCCTTGCCGGGATATTATTGTTTCCTTATTGTTGCCTTGCTGGGATTCTTTTGTGATTGGTGTTGATTTGTATATTGGGATAGGGTAGCACGCCGCAACAATATTATATGGGATCAGGTTGCACGCCGCAATAAGGAGTAATAAGGGAGGACATGCAGGGTCGGGTTGCACGCTGCAACACTGATATATGATTTGGATCGGGTTGCACGCTGCAACAACATTCTATGATTTGGATCGGGTTGCATGCTGCAATAGTGTTATATGAATTGGATTGGGTTGCGTGCCGCAACAATAAAGAATAAAAGTTGACATTGATTCGTTACTGTTTTCCTTATTCTTACTGATGCAAAATTTAAGATGTTTTTTATGTTTTTCTCCTGAGACTCTGTTGGTACTTGATATTCCCCACAACATGTTCCCCTTCCCATCTTTAACTGCTAGTTCCTGTTATTATTACTTGTTGTATATGCTTTAACTACACATGTTTATTTGGTAGTCTTGTCCTAGCCTCGTCACTACTTTGCTGAGGTTAGGCTTGACACTTACCAGCACATGGAGTCGGTTGTGCTGATACTACACTCTGCACTATGTGCAGATCTCGGTACCAGAGTTTTTGGACCTTAGCAAGGTTGCTTCCTTCAGTCCAGTAGAGACCCGAGGTAGTCCTGTAGACGTCCGCAGGCCTTGGCGTCCACTTCTATCTTTTATATTCTGTTTTCATTTACTTTAGATACAGACTTGTATCTTTCTTTCCAGACCACTGTTTGTAGTATTTGTATATAGTCTGTGATATTGTGACACTAGTTCTGGGTAGAGTTGTACTATGTATTTTTTGCACTAGTACTTGGTTAAGTTATCAAATTTCGTATTCTTGTAACGACCCGACCGGTCATTTTGGAGCTCTAGCAGATCGTTCAGCAGTTTGGGGCCATAAGCAGCTTCATTTCAGGTATTATGACTTGTACGCATGATCGAAATGAATTCCGGAGAAGTCGGAGTTGATTTGGAAAGGGAATTCTCATTTTGGAAGCTTTAAGTTGAAAGAATTGACTAAGATTGGATTTTAGAGTAAAAAACCTCGGAATCAGGATCTGAAGCATCTAGTAGGTTCATATGATAATTTTGGACTTGGGCGTATGCCCGGATCAGGTTTTGGATGACCCGGGAGCATTTTGGCGCCTATTGTGGAAGTTAGCATTTTGGAAGAAATTTCATAAGTTTGGGTTGAAGTGCATTTTAGTGTTATCGATGTCCGTTTGGGATTCTGAGTCAGGGAGTAGCTCCGTATGATTATTTTGGAGTTGGGAGTGCAATCGAAAGTGAATTCGGAGGGCCATAGGTCGTTTTGAAGTCATTTGGCTAAAGATAGAAATTTGAAGGTTTTTGAGAAGTCTGACTTAGAGTTTGATTTTTTGATATCGGGCTCGGATTCAAATTTCGAAAGTTGCAGTATGTCCGTAATGTTAAATATGACTTGTGTGCAAAATTTGAGGTCAATTGTACGTGATTTGACGGGTTTCAGCATCGAATGTAGAAGTTTTAAATTTTAAAGTTCATAAAGTTTGGACTGGAGTGCGATTCATGATTTCGACGTTGTGTGATATGATTTGAGGCCTTGAGCGAGTTCGTATCATGTTTTTCGAAATGTTGGTATAATTGGTCAAGGTCCCGAGGGCCTCGGGTGGATTTCGGAAGGTTAACGGAATGAATTTCGGACCAAAGAGTTGCTGAAATTTTCTTCAGAAAACTGTTTTGACAACAACTAGTGCAATCGCGGAGCTGAATTTGGAAGCTTAAATCTCGAAATCTATAAGGAATATGAAAATCTGCAAAACGTAAAAGTTGTTGCGCTTGCATTCTAGTTTCCAGAAAGTTACACCATTTATGATTTGGACATTTTGTCAGAAAGTTATTATCGATTGAAGGTGGCCAGTGGAGCAGTTTCGACAGAATTTTCTGATGTATGGATCCGACTTTAGAAGCTCATATCACTGAATATATAAAGAGTTATATGGTTTGCAACCTATAAAATGAAAAAGATCTTCGAGTCTAGTTTCTAATTCTCCAAATCGTTTGTCATTTGGATATATTCACAAGGAGTTATGGGCGTTTTTACAGAAGGGGAAAAT